TTCATGTGGACTTGACATTTTATCATACAAACATTTCTCTCCAGCTGCAAACTCTTCCTCTTGTTTATGAGTACTTCTATTTTGACAGTAAGTCTTCTTACATAAAAGCATTGCTTTAAATTCGTATACTCAAGAAATCAAGTAAAGGTCAATATGCATGTAAGGAAAGATAGGAAAATACCACAATAAACCAGATTTAAATCCTAGTCCTAGCACCAAAATTTCTCGTTTGGTTGACGAAACACAAATATGTTCCTATTTTCTCTGTAGATCTACACAACTTACCATGGAACATAAGCATATTAATACAAATTTATTTATTTATTACAATAAATGAGTAAAGGTTATAAACAATAGTATACTAGCTATCTATATGAGGAATTATATACCATAGTTTTGCCTCTGATTGCTTAGACAGATGTGGTACTAAAGTAAACAAATATATTTAAATAATGAGCTTGAGTTTGTCCATCCAAAACTTTTCTCGCAAATTCCTCAACAAACGCTACAAATCTCATAGGACATTTTTTAGCTATAGTCTTTACTTTGTAAATAAGACATTACTTCAGATGAGCTTAAGATAGTGTTCAGCGTATGACACTGTTTTACAAGTTGAAACAAAGAAACTCATAAAAACGAAGAATAAAGCCCGTACTAAAGAAAAAAGTAGCTAAAAGGTGTTTATAGCAGTCTATGAAATGAATCAAAACTAAATTATTGCAAAGTAAAGAAAATGTAAAGTTGTAATGAAAGCAAATTTAGCTGAAAATGCAGAAACATCTGAATGTGTGTTCACGACGTAATAAGCATATGGTTTTGAATGAAGTGTGCATGCGAGAAAACCCATATAAATTGTATTTAGTGCAATGTTAATTTTTTTAGGAAATTACACGCGGGTTAAGTGTTGTTTGTGTGAAATACTTTGCAAATAAAAAAAACTAAAGGTGAAATCGAAGACAGTCGTCACGTGATGACAACAACATAGTACCATAATGTACCATACTCATTGCACTAAAAAGTCTAAATGAGCAAAATGCAGGTAAGGTAATTTTGAATTGAAAAGCCATCATTCGATCCGGACTCCTTGGACAAAGGACTTTTTTAACAATCTGCTCCTTATGAAGAAATTAGTGGTAGAAGAAACTGGAATCCCAACAATCCCGTTCGACCACATACTTGCAAAGTTCCCAATGCAGGTCCACTGGAATGTCATGTCTTACGTTTTGGTAGCCAACGTAAACTACAGTGAATGGTCTGTTAACACTTTGTAATGAGTATGGTCTAACAGTAATTTTGCCTTTTCAGAGACTTGTTACGATGGAAGTTGTGGTATTAGGAAACAGAATATAATTATGGCCACAAGGCTTAGCACAATAATAAAGGAAATAACCCCAAGAGTACTACTCTCAGTATAGACCATATTCACATTATTTTATTCCAAAAGAGAATATAAGGCTGTTCGGTCTTCACAGCTTAATTTAGTCTGGAAGTCATATTCACTTTTCTGGTGTTAGCTGCGAATATATTTTTTAATATATACCTATATGAGGTTATATGTTTCCGTTCTGCAACAAAAAAGTCGACATTAGACAATACTCAAAACGAACAGGCTTTTGCATCATGTGTTAAAGATAGAATATAACTACTACAAAAAGCTGGTTGTCCTTGGTGTAAAATTATTGTAACATAAGTAACAAATCTTTTGATATTTATTTTACTTTATAGCCCTTAGATCATTTTACACATTCAATTGTTTGTTTGGAGATCGTATTAGAACACTCTAATCCTAGATTCAAGGACAGCTCAAGCATCGTTCGACATGCACTAGGTGAATGTGATGTGATCCCTTCCCCCAACATGTTAAAAGTAATGCCGAAAACGAGGCTATACTACGTGTGAAGAAAACTATGCTGATTCTTCAAAAGAAGCCGAAGCTAAACAACCAGCAAAGCGCTACTGAACTTCTCTTAATTTAGGTAATTGAACTTTATTTAAAATTTCACGCTATACTGTATGATTCTATTTGTTGATATATATATGTATAGTGGACATTTATCTTGGTCTAGATCCAAACTTCTTAAGAATTTGGCTAGATCTGGAAAAGAGTTATCGCTAGTTAGAAGAGTGTGTTTTGTTTTAGAGCAAAACTACACAACCCGTGGTCTCTAAACCACCAGAAATCGAATCCCGCATCTTTAGTGTCGTAAGTCCATAAACTTACCACTGACTCACTGCGGGATCAGCAGCTAGAGAGTAGTCTATCGAACATTGAGTTTGTATGTCTTTTATCAGAATCAGTAAATAACATTTTGAAGTCTCAATTCTTCAGTTCAGTCAGGCTAGAAATAGTTTAATCCTGCAGCTCCCCTATCATTACGGTTATTATTATGATCTGAAGATGTGCTCTATGAAGACAGAGCACACCATATGTTTTCCTCCCGTCATTTAGTTAAAACGTTTTTAAAGAAAAAATATTATTTTTCTTAGTTCTTCATTTGGTTGCAGTGAGGCACTCAAGTGAGTTACTAGCTTCAGCTTTCTCTAAGTGGCAAGAGGAGTTATAGGTGATGGCCAAAGCTTAGTTATCTTGTTTTCTTGCAGGAATAATTAAGCAGTATTTATTTATCGAGTTCACGTATTCTTGTTGGTGATTCAGATACAAAATGAGAATAGTCGTACTTTTAGTCTACACACCTCCCGCTAGTCAAGTGGGATAACTAGTGCCCAATAAAAGTTTGGATATGCGGAATAGTTGAGGCTAATTGGCATATTTAAGTTCATGTTTGCACTAGATTTTGTGTGACTTTGAGTTTCTTTAATCATAGTTTTTGTGGAAACTTTGTATTGTAATTTTTAAAGTCATCTTCACTTTCCGTAAGTGACCTTTTGGTTTCTGTTGAGTTTCATTGTTTTGGTGAGACGTTAAAGTTTTCCCGTAGTGTTAGTTTACACTTTCGTCACGTAGACAATCAGCTGATTTAAGTAAATTAGGTAGTAAGTGAAATCAAAGTGGTAATCGGATTTCACGAGTTAGAAAGTGTATGTAGTATACTGTAACTTTCTTTCATTTTAAATCGGAGTTTTTACCATTTTCATTCCCGTTTATGTTCTGGTTTAATTTACAGTGAGATGAACAAATATTAGCAAGAACAGTCTATTTTATTAAAGCCTTCATTAGCTCTTGCTGGTCTTAAACTTTTCTATTCTACAGTACACACAGGACCACTTGTCTGTTGTCTTGTTTACCGTGTTGTTTGTAGTGAATTGTTTATTGTTTTTTTACTGTATTGTAAGTGCACCATTAAATACTTGTTGTTCGTTTCTTCAGCCTTGTCTCCCAGTGGGATAGCGGTAAGTCTTCGGATTTACAATGCTAAAAAATCAAAGGTTTGCTATTAGAAAACACAAACAAACACTCTTATACCTCGCCTTTCACGATCCGATAACTGTAACTTGGAGGGAAATATATTTAAGATCCGAAAACCTCCTGTTATCAGCGGGCCTACCTTACTACTCTGTTGGTTAAATGAGATAGAACAAAGGTTATCTGTGTACCCGAGAATACCACATAACCAATTTATTAATTATTTATCAATGGTTTTTATTTCTAAAAAAAAGAACGCGTGAGTGTAATTTTGCACTCCTAAGATACTTGTGGGAGTATGCTTACTTACACTTCTTAAAATTTGACCTTTTAAACAAAATATACACCCCCCTTACACTTCTATCAGTATTTATCTTTGGGAGTCTCTTTGAAAGGAATAAAATTATAAGTTTATAAAACACACTCAACGCGTTATAAACATTTTTTAGCAATGTGTTATTTTTCAACAATACATGTGAAAATACTTATCGAACGTTCCATCCCCCTCGATAGTTAGGTATTATGTCCGAAGCTTCGGGGAAGGAAGGAACATAAAAAGTATTAAACTATCTGTGAATTCAATAAATAGTTTAGCGTTTTTTCGGATAACGGATAACTTATTTTACGAGCTGCTTCGTTCGATTGTTTTTCAGATATATTAACAGAATTGTGATTTAAAAAGTGGCAGTCGGACTGGAAAATAATTATTTATAGGATTCACGATAATTTGGAGGTTTTCTAAGATAAGGAATCTATAAAACGTGAAAGATAAAATCAGCTGTTGTTTCTAGAAGTTACTATAATTTCTCATGCAGTTAGATTCGCTGTCTAGCTTATAAGTATTCAAACAATTTGTATGTTTAAGGCAGTGTCTTCTTGGCTTTTAAGAATTTTGTTTAGTGTTTGTTTACGACCGAACCGCAAGTATACAGGAGTATGTGACCAGGGTGTCTGTTTATCTTGTGGGGCCCTGCTCGTGTGTTTTCTTGCAGATAACATATTTTTTACCTACGGTGTATTGTTTATTGTTTGTTTACGACCGAACCGCAAGTATACAGGAGTATGTGACCAGGGTGTCTGTTTATCTTGTGGGGCCCTGCTCGTGTGTTTTCTTGCAGATAACATATTTTTTACCTATGGTGTATTGTTTATTATTATTACAGCAAACGCGCCTCATGAGCGTTACTTTCGTTTGGTGTGCGCGTCATGTAGTGAAGATTGGAATGGCTGCCAAACTCGAACTTTTCGTGTTTATTCATTTAAACTTGATCTTTACAAATTCCTCACAAACTCACAAATACTTGTGACATGAAGACACCAGACAGCCAAATATATATATATTTAATATCTCTCTGCCATCGTTCTGATTATTTAGCTCATCCCATTCACATTCTTTATCTGGTCAGTTCATAATCTAACCAAAAACAACTAATTACCAACCTTGTTATTATTGTTCGTTTGTTTCACCTGAATGACATATTATACACAGAAGAGGAAAATGGCCAGGTTAAAGACACATATTGTTCAGACCACAGAAGAGGAAAATGGCCAGGTTAACGACACATATTATTCAGACTACAGAAGAGGAAAATGGCCAGGTTAAAGACACATATTGTTCAGACCACAGAAGAGAAAAATGGCCAGGTTAAAGACACATATTGTTAAGACCACAGAAGAGGAAAATGGCCAGATTAAAGACACATATTGTTCAGACCAGAGAAGAGGCAATAAGTTAGCAGCACCCATTGCTACATATGGTTCAGACCAGAGAAGAAGCAATCAGTTAGCCACGCCCACTGCTACATATGGTTCAGACCAGAGAAGA